TGAAGAATACAGCAAATCCAAGAATCTATAAATAATTCTAAGAAAAATCTCAAGGATTCTTACAAACCTAATAATCAAGGTACGATTTTAAACAATAACCATATTCATGATGTTAGATATTTCATAAGAACTAGTATTAAAATCCGTTACAAGCAAATACGTCATCTAAAAACAAAACTATTTGTATTTTAAAACATATGTCTTTTAAACATTCATATGTACTTTTACTATTATTTTTCTAGCTTTGGTATGACCATCATCATTTGTCATCATAAACATTATTATAATTACCACTACTATTAAATAAATTTTAATCGTAACTTTAAATCCAAAACAAAACTAAACCATTATTATTATAAAATTATAATCATGAGTTTTTCAAGCCTAGATACAAATAAACAAGAATTAAAATTTTTTCGTAAAACATTGAAACAATCTAAAAAATTTCTTTTAGACTTAAAAATAGATTCTGGCATATCAATGATAAATTGTATATCTAATATTGAAGCAATACATATAATAAATAATAGTATAAATTGGAAACAAGAACAAATAAAAAACCTTGAAGATAAAATAACAAAATTAATTTGTTAAATATGATAGAAAAAACAACTACTTCACTAGAAAAAAGAAACTAAAAATTTTTAATACACACAATATATGGAAACTTTACAAGAAAAAGTAGAAACACTAACTAAATTATTTGCAGCACTAGAAATTCCATCTGAAACTCAAGAAAATAATATAGAAATAGAAAATAATTCAGATAATAATGACGCAGAAGTAATATATGATTTTTCTTCAGAAGATGAAAACCCTTATTCAAATCCATATAGAGATTCACAAAACAATTTTGGATTAAAACGAAAACAATCATATGTTGAAGATGATTATCAAAGTCAATATATTTATGGACCACCTTCATTAGAAGAAAATTTTTTATATAGACAAGGAATGGTTAAAAATAAACAAAACAAATGGGAAAAAATACCTCCTCAATACATATCTAAATTATTTACATTTCCAACAAATTCAGATATTCTTTTTATTGATTGTGACCAAAATCCTGAAGCAAAAATTCAAGAATGGAGTAATAAAATAGGAGTACAAATTCAGTTAACCGAAGAATTAAGAAATTTACACCAAAAAACATTTTCTTAATTATATCATTCATAAAACACAAGGTAACGCATATCGTTTCCTTTCATCTCTTGATGAAACCGAAACAATGATGATAGCCACCACTGATGCTATGGAAACATTTAAAAATGTATTAAGCCGTCTTATTCAGGAATTCATAGGAAAACAAATTGAAGATAAAATATCAAAAGAAGCTTTTCAATTAGAATCACTATGGCATTTAACTAATTTACGAATTTGTAATATGTGTTATTTAGAACCATTTATATGTGAATATTCTGAACATTATTATAATTTAGATTCCATTAGAAAAAAGGCAGCATTAGATATGTTCTATCAAAAATTACCATCATTAGTAAGCCAAAGTGTAATAAAAGATTTCCAAGAAGCATTACAACAAAATAAAGTTGCAGACACCTTAGGAGCACGAATAAGCATATTAAAAGCATGGATGCAGAAAAAATGTTTAGAACAAAAAACAGCACAAGATGCAAAAATTGATTTATGTTGTGACATCCTTTCTAACAAAGTAAATCAATATGGTTGTAAAGAAAAACAACAAAGTAAAAAGAAAATTTGGAAAAAACAAACTTATAAACCCAAATATAAAGAATATTATAAACAAGGGGAAAAAAATATTTCCGAAATAGAAAACAATATAAACAAAAATATCAATCCAAAACAAATTATTGTCCATCGAATAAAAAAGACTGTAAATGTTGGATATGTCAAGAAGAATGACACAAAGCTTATGAATGCCCGAAAAAGACTAAAAAAGAAAAAGAAACAAATATATTAAAAATTGTATACGACCTTGGATACGAATTCATAGAAGATTCAGATATAAATTCAGATATAGATATTTATGCATATACAACTGATTCTGATTCAGATGCAGGTACATAATCCTATGGAAAAAGTATTATCAGAATTAGAACTTGAGGGAAACCTCATATCTAACCTATCTGGAATATACATTGCTAAAGCATACAATGGTATGAAAGTACCATCTGAAGTAAACAATGATAAAGCATACAGTGATATGAATATATCACCAAAAGCATACAGTGATATGAATATATCACCAAAAGCATACAGTGATATGAATATATCACCAAAAGCATACAGTGATATGAAAATTTTCATATCATCATTTGAAACAAACAAATTTCAGCAATTATTCAGGTACTCAAGAAACGCAAACATTCAGTCCACAAATATATTGAAATGGAAGCAATCATGAAGCAAATCAAACACCAGTTCAAACAGAAAGAAGATCAAGAAGCATCATTAGTCAGACAACTCGAAGCAGTCAGACGAGAAAAAGAACAACTACGACAAACAATCCAAATTCTATCATCCCAATCAGTACCTAAAAAAGAAGCAGCTAGCAGTTCAACAACGAAGCAACCAAAAGAAGACATTCAAGAAATTTCATCCGATGATAGTCAGCCACAAACAATGCTCAAGTCAGAAAAACAACCTATAATACAAAATCCAGAAGAATATCCACCACTTTAAGCAGATCAAAATATAAAGAAATGGTACGTGATTTTCAACGGAGAAAACAAAGGAGTATATGACAATTGGGGAATCGCCAGTTCATATATTCTTGGAAGAAATATTATTCACAAAAGTTACAAAACAAAAAATGAAGCAGAAGCCGCATACAATGAAGCATACAAAGCAGTAATAAAAGATAACGTCGAATGTTCAAAAACAGTTCTCCTAACATCACAAAAACCTATATCCAGTATTACACCACAAAAACCTGTATCCATCCCAAGATCTCTTAACCAATTAAATGCAAAAATTGCCCTTGAATCCATTCTATCAACCAAAGAAAAAGAAGCCATGAAAAAACCATCTGCCAAAAAATTTGCCGAATTATGGGACAGCCTAATCTCATACACTGAAGTCCATTCTTTAATGGGCTTTTACCCAGTAGCCAGACGACCAGGTCCTAAAGCAGTCTTCTTAGCCGACTTATCAGATCCTATGACTTTATGGGATTATTTTATTCATGGGTTCATCGACACCATCTATCTAGAAGGCACCAACCTACACTACATCAGCGAATTCCCTTCTGCTGTTCAAACTATCATCATAAATTATAAAATACGCTTTGCAAAACAAGAAAGAGGATTATTCATCAAAATGCATTCTAGCTACCCAATTTTTGATGAAGAATCTCAACTAATTGTCCCAAGTATTACTTTTGCAAACATGGGAATAAGCAACGGCTCAAAACCAACAAAAGATGATCTACCCCGTGAATCCCCAACACAAGAGCATCTAATCTTTGCACTTGCCGGTGTTTATTTAGCATCATCACGCATTGGCAACGGTAAAGATCAAAGGTCAAGAATCAGAGTAAATTATGCTAGTAAAACTTTCATTATCTACTCTTTAACAGACAATGAAATCACTCCGGAAGCAATGAAAGCAATTGAAACATTCGAACAACCTTTCGAAAAATTTTCTCATCAACTGGCTGAATTACCCGATGATATCAAGAAACAACTTTGCAAACATATTATGCATGCTCCAAGACACAATTGCAGTCACTGTTCAGAAAACACAGAAGAAACACCATTTATGGAAGATTAACTTCAGAAATGATGCTAGCAAACATTTTCAAAATTATGTCTTTTTGGAGGCGGGAGGAATGACGTAAGAAATCATATTATTAAAGACAACACATCTTTGAAGATAACGATGCATTATAGACGATAATAATTCTATTTTGTCTTTTATAATTATGTAAAGTGTCGGTAAGGTTAATAAGTGTGTAGCATTATTATATATGTGACATAAAGTCTTATGTAAAGTAGTTTGTCTTCTTGCAATCATACGATTGCAATAATGTAAAGATACCGTGTGTAAACGGCTCTTTGGAGCCTATATAAAGGGCTTTGCCCTTAGTGAATAAAGCAGAGTTATTTGAGATTATAAGATTTGAGTTGTTCTCAATCTTCTTCTGTTGAAATAGTTCGTCTATTTCTGAATAGCAGAACCCTATCCAAACATATCCATATATTCATATAAACATATCAAACCCAGACAATCAATCCATCGTCAATTCATTACGACGCATCATTCAGATATATTCTATCTTAATTTTATTAATTCCGTTATGTTTTTCAAGTTGGTGTACAACGTGCCAAACAAGCTTCGTGTTCTCCTTGGCAAGGGCTTGGCGAGGTCGATTCCTTGTAGTCTAAACATCATCAACTATATTCTAAATTAAATGTTGGTTTTTTAAAAACTAAAATAAAAGAGTAAATCATCATAATTTGTTGTCGACTTTTATCAAGAATTAGTTAAAGGAAAAAAAAAAACAAAGCAAATTATAGACACTAGTTGCTCATCAAAAAGGACCAGAAGCTTTAGTGCTAGAGTATTCCCCCTCCCCCCAACACAGAGGGATCACAAGAACCTTTATGGTCTTATTCTGAATTTTCTGCCACCCCTCTCTCTCTCTCATCTCCAAACCAATCTTCACTTTCATTATTCCGCCACTACCACCACCATTACCATTACCATGATCATCACCACCACCATCATCACCACTTGGTGTATGTGACAATTGCATTCTCCCAAAATAAACCCATTCCCTCGCTCTAGAAAGCCTAAGCTTTCTCTCTCCTCCTCCCCACCACCATCTACCAAATCACCTGTTCATATTTAAGTGTGTACAGTTTGTAGTGTCAGAATTGGGCATCCCCAAAATAGTTTATTAAACTCACCAAAAAGCCTGCTGTTAAAAGCTGTTTGAGAAGGTGGAGATGGGTTAGGCTACAATTTAGGGAGGTCTACTTTTTTTTAATCTATCTCTGTGTGTGTATGTGTGTGCTGTTATGGAGCTTGATTATGGGCTGAATTGCAGACCCTTTACGGCGATGCAGTTGCAGGATCAGTTTTTTCCTGACTTCTTGCAGAGATTAATCGAAATTTATAGCGAATTTGATCAAAGTGAAGAAAGTAGTTCGTGTTTTCTTTGAGTTTTGTGTTTTTGTTTCAAAAGGGTCCGAGTCTGGATTCTCAGAGGAATTATCTGGATTTTTACAAGAACAGCTTGAATCAGAATCAAGAACTGTTGGATTCACGATATGTAGCGGAAGAAGAGGAAGATAATCAAGGGTTTCGAATTGGGTTGCATGGGTTTCCGTTTCACGGTGGATTAACTGGAGAGGCGGCGGCGGCGGTGCAACCTCTGCTTCCGCCGCAGAAGAAACGGTCGTATTTGTTTTCTTTGGTGGAAAACGAAAATGCAACGGATGAGAAAATGGGAGGAAGTTATCAGTACGAACATCAAGAACACTGCCGGCGGCAGTCACCGGTGGGTGGGTCGTCGAGATTTGGGTTGAGAAACTCCGGTGGCGAAATTGTGGAAGTTCACGGTGGTCACATTGTACGGTCAACTGGTCGGAAAGATAGACACAGTAAAGTATGCACCGCGAAAGGACCGAGAGACCGCCGTGTCCGCCTCGCCGCCCACACCGCCATCCAATTCTACGACGTACAAGACCGCCTGGGGTACGACCGTCCGAGCAAAGCCGTCGACTGGCTTATTAAAAAAGCCAAAACCGCCATTGATGAGCTCGACGAGCTTCCCGCCTGGAAACCCACTTCCACCACCGCCGCCACACATTCAACTTCAATTTTGAATTTTGAGCATCACCCAAATGATTGTATTATTGATAATCAAATGAGTAACGCTCAAAATTCAAGCTTTTTACCTCCATCTCTTGATTCAGACTCCATAGCTGATACGATTAAGTCGTTTTTTCCGATGGGTGGTTCCTCAACACCGCACAACAGTAACTCGTCGGCAATGCAATTTCATCAGAGCTTCTCACCGACGGATTTTCTTTCAAGAAGTAGTAATCAAACTCAAGATCTAAGACTCTCTCTTCAATCATTCAAAGATCCGATGCTTCACCACCACCACCACCAACAGACCGAAGAAGGTAACAGTATGTTTCTAGATGGCTCCGGCTGGCCGGAGAGAATGGTGGGTTGGGGTGGTGGTGTTTCCGGTGGCTTTCCCTTCAGTTCATCGCCAACACAAACAACGCCGTTCCTACAGAATCATTTGTTTAATAACAATTCTCAGAGGGGACCCCTTCAGTCCAGTAACACATCTTCAGTTCGTGCTTGGATCGACCAGCCACCGTTCGTCGGCGCTGCGGCAGTTGACCACCCGTCTTCTATGTCCGGTTTCACTTCCGGCGTAGGTGGGTTCTCTGGGTTTCTTATTCCGGCACGTATTGAAGGTGAACAAGAGGAAGACGACGGCGTCTCTGATAAACCGTCCTCGGCTTCCTCTGATTCTCGCCATTGATTCACCTTCATTCTTTATAATCTTCTCTCGAACAGGTAAATATCTCAAACACCCATTGAAATTTTACTCGCTATTTATCGTAAAATCAATCTGATTTCCATGGAATTTGCAATAACTACAGGATCATTTACTGTTTTACGAAAACAGAGGATAAAAAAGATGATTCAGCTTCACAGAGTCAAATCAATGGCCGCTACTACTACTGTTTCAAGATTTTTTGTATTTTGTTTTAATCGAGCATATGTTTAGCTCTAAACTCTATGCTAAATTATATTTGAATTACATCTGTTCTTAGTTTATGTACGCTAATTGGGATCGAAATTAATACTCTGCTAAAACAGAGAAATATATATGTTTTGATTATGCATTCTATTCTTCACCAAACATAGATAACATATTCTTGATAGTTTTCCGACACAAAATTGACCACTTTTGTGATTGATTGAAGCCATAAGATAAAGTTGGGATGTTGCTCTTTTTTTAATGATTGGTCAATTGGATCTCTCTGTACACTGGTTGATAAACTGAAAGAGAAAGCTTTGTTCTTGTTTGCGGATTTCGGATCTTTATTGTGTATATTCTATTTATAAGTATTCTTCAATAGGTAATTGATAGAGTCTAATAACGATTATCAAAATCCATAAAAAGAATGTGATTAAAAAAGAGTCATGATCGTTAATCTCATCCTTCACATCGACATTATGAGAGCATGTTATAATCTTGAAATGGGTATTTGGATTCGAATTTGCCAATTTGGATTGTTAGGCAACTTAACTTAGGCATGCACAAAAAAACCGGTTCAAGATCCGAACCGGTCAAAGAACCGGTAAACCGGTTTACGCTGAACCGGTCCACAATGAACCGAACCGGTTTGAGAACCGAACCACCGGTTTACACCCGTTCGAGATTTTAGTTGTTGAAACCGGTTTAGAACCGGTTTATATCGTGTGAACCGGTATGGAACCGAACCGAACCGGTTTAGAACCGGTGTAACCGGTTTAGATAGGTTCGACTAATTTTTTGAGTGAACCGGTTTGAATCGAACCAGTTTGAGGCTGAACCGGTTTTGCTTGGCTAGGGAGTGAACCGAACCGGTTTAAAGAACCGGTTCGGTTTGAAAAATGAACCTTTTTTTATTACCAAATAGCTTGTTTTATTTGTTAACCGGTTCAGCTATTTGGTTCGGTTTGGTAATAACCGGTTCAGCTATTTGAAAAATGAACCTTTTTTTTTTTTGTTATTTGTTAACTTAGGTAAAAAAAACTGTTCTTTTTCTTAATTTAAGGTAATAACCTTTTTTTATTACTAATTAGATCATTAAACAAACATTTTCATATTTATTATGTCACTACATTTGTAATTGTTTAAAATTGTAGATTTGGGTAATTGCTTACCTAATAGATGATGATTTTGATAATGTCTATTAATTAATGTATCTAGAGGGCGTACATTGACATATTTATACCAAAGGGCCAATAGCGGTAAGGAGTGACTCTCTCATATGAGAGGTCATGGGTTCAAGTCTCGGTGGAGACATAGGTGGTTATTTAGGAGTAGTAGGTTAGTTAGTTTGTCGTTTCAAAAAAAAAAGACATATTTATAGATTTTAAGTTGAATATAATATTAAACTAGTCATAAAAATTAAAGGGTTAAATTAATACACACTTTATTCTCATAAATCTATATATTTAGTTTGAATTCTCAAACCTATTAGATGAGGGGCGTATTTACATCAACTTTTGATACACCTACTCACCTAGTTCAATAAGGTTGTTAAACTATACATTTTATTTCAGCTAGGTCATTGGATTAACATTTTTACACACTTAGTGACCAAATAGCTTGTTTTCCTAAGTTTAGTAACTTAATTGACAAAAAAAAATTAGTTTGTTATCCAAATTAACATAAATAAGATGGCACATAATATTATGAAAGTCAAATTAATCCTTGTTGTTAAGCCTAACTTGTATTACTTGAAAACTGTTCGATTCTTATTTTTCCATATCAATTCTACAATACCTTTTCAAAATTATTATAGACCATGTCATTTTCAAAGCTTCATTTATTGATGATAAACAAAACCGGACCGGTCCCATTTCATGGCAGTTGTAACCTCGGCACGCGGTGGCTAGTGGTCCATGGAAATGGATGGTGTCAAATGCCACGAAGCTAAATAATTTAAATATCAAGAACTTTGATCCGTATTTGAGGTATTTATGTGAATAAGCGATGCCCATCCTTCGAAAGAAGAGTGTCTATTTTAATTAAAGAGCGTATTTCACATAAATTGCTGAAATATATAAACCATGCAAATGGTATATGATAATCAATAACTTGAATATCGACATTTAATCATGTAAATTCACTATCCTTAAGTAATATTTTAACCATGGTTTGCATTATAACATGGGTATCAGGTAATTCACTATAAGATTTATGAAAATGGTATGTTTGATATTCCGAAAACTAGCAATGTTCTCTTAAGAACCAAAAGATTTATAAGAAATGTCAACTCATAATCAACTCATCATTTTTTAACGCCAAAAACACAAATCTTCTCAAAATGGTACGTCTAAGCCATATCTATGCTAAAAAAAAAAAGATTTGACGATTTTTTTTTTTTTTTGGTTTTTTTGTATGACTGCTTATGAGCATAATCAGCAGTTGTACAGACTGCTGGTGAGCACAATCAGCAGTCATATGGACTTCGGGTGAACACAATCAACAGTCATATGGACTGCTGATTGTGCACATCCGCAGTCCATATAACTGTTGATTGTGTTCATCATCAGTCCGTACAACTGTTGATTGTGTATAAATGCAAATTTCAAAAATAAATAAAAAAAAGTTGTGAAATCTTTTTTTTTAGCCTATATGTGGCTTAGACGCACCATTTGGAGAAGATTTATGTTTTTGGTGTTTATTATGAGTTCGCAAGTTCACACATTTTTTTTGGTTCTCACAATAACTCAGCCATATATATATATATATATATATATATATATATATATATATATATATAGATATATATATATATATATATATATATATATATATATATATATATATATAGAGAGAGAGAGAGAGAGCTAGGTTCAAGTATTTTAACTAATTATTGTGTGGATGTAGGAATCAATGTGAGTCAATCATATCAAAACGTAAATAAGGTAAATTTTTAATGTTATCTATTAATTAATTTTAGTAATCAAATAAATATTTAATTAATCCCTTTAATTTAGGCAAGATAGTTTAAGAATTAATTAAATAAGGTAAATTTTTAATGTTATCTATTAATTAATTTTAGTAATCAAATCTATTTGTTCAATAATTGTATATTTAAGGATGTTATTTAGACAATTATTCTGTAAGAATATGTATAAATCAATATTTGCATTACAATGCTTGAATATATAAGGATCATGTTATATTTCAACTGAAGGTTCAAGAATGTTGTTTTTTTACAAGGAGTTACTTCAATCAAAATATGTACTCTATCAGAATATATTCTGATATTTTCATAGAATATCGTTCTAACAGAATTGCATTCTAAAAGAATAAAATCGAGTAAATTAAAAATTATGTTAGAATTAAAAATGAATTAATTAAAAAAATTAGAATTCAAAATTAAAAGAATCAATATCCCTTAAAATCTGAAATTTACATTAATTAAAAATGTGTCTCCTAATTTAAAGATAGGTAAATCATTACTTAAAATAACTAAAACCATTGGTTTACATTCATCCCTACATCCACACAATAATTAATTAGAATACAATAACCTAAGCTTATATATATATATATATATATATATATATATATATATGATCAAATGAGAACACCTAAAAGGTTGAGAACGCGAGAGCAGATCTCATCCATCTATTATCTTAGATATAAGGATATAATTAATTAGAAATTTTGTTATTATTAAAATGTTTAAATTCAATTAATTTGAATTAAAAATAAGAAAAGGGTATCATGGTAATTAATCATTCCCTTATTTTAAACAACTCCTAAAATCTCTCAATCTCTCTCTGTATAAACCTACGACTTCATCATTCACTCCCCCATTTTCGACTTCATCTTTCTCTCTATACCTAGGGCAAGCCTCCCTCATCTATACATCAGTCTCAATAGCACCGTCTAAATCAGACCTTCCTGGTGGTTATTCTTGGCAGCGAATGAAAAAGAAAAAAGGGAAAGAAGGAGTGTTCGGTGGTGGCAGATTAATCGCGAAGAGGAGGGGAAAAAAAGACCACCGGTTCTCGGTTCGATTAAAGAAAGGAGAAGGATGGAAGCAACAGAAGGAGCATAAATTAGTTCATCAAATTAAACATGATCAGGCTATAGTGGGTTTGGTCGATCGGGAATCAACGAGACACACACACACACGCATATTCAATGTGTGCCGATCGTGGGGGTGAGCACGACAGACCCTGAGAGAAATTAGATGCAGTGGATTAGTAGATAGAATTAGAAGATGCGGGAAAGAATGGGTGTGACTGAAAGAGAGATCGAGAAGGAGGAGGATGTAGCAGGGGTGGCGATACGATGGTATTAGGGCAGCGCAAGGAGCCGACGACGGACCTTGTTGTCGGAAATAGTTTGTGTTCCTACTGTTTCTTTACATACAAGTGAAATCCATTCAAGAAGTGAAGGAATCTACGGGAATAGATGGGAGTTCTCCCTGTTCGTGCTGCATTATCAATTCCGAAGGCAAAACAGGAAAAATCGATTTCATAGGGATAATTATAGACGAGTCTGGAAGATTAAACTCGATTCAAGAAGTGGGACTACATCGATCATCGATGTACCGAGGGTGGTTAGGGATCGTTATTTGTGTTGGAAGTCGAGGTTTTCATGAATATTAATTCATGTGGAGGAATTAAACCTTAATATGGAGGTTTCTTGGGTCTTGATTTACTCGAAATTCAGCAACTAACAATGACCAGAAAGGTAATGTTTTTGTAGTTGTTCTTGGTCTTTGATTTCAGCAACAAATTAAGCATTAAAATGGTGCTTTTGGTGTGGTAATACTTGATAAAAAGGAATGAGAAAAGGGATGAATGGAGGGCTGAAACGAGAGGGCAACAACTATTTTCTTATATTTATTTGTGAATATCAGTGTATTTATATGTGAATGACTGTATTTATTTATGAATAGCAGGGTATTCATGTGTGATCAATGAGTGTATTTATTTATGATTAGGGGTATTCATTTTATGAAGAAATGATAACTTTTACACTATTTTTATTTTGTATTTGTTTATGAATAACAGTGTATTCATTTGTGAATATCAGTGTATTCATGTGTGAATGATTATTTATTTATGAAT